TCCTGAACGGTTTGTTTTTAATAAGAGGATAAGGAGATTTGCGATTAGCAACGAAGGCGAAGGACATTGTTATCAATGCATCCCACGAGTGGAGAACATTCGATCTACATCTAATTATCGGTTATCTTCGCGTCGCGGTTAAGTTACTCTCCTGTTAGCAGGGTCGAATATCGAACTACGCGGCGACGACGGCAACATTCATTACCTACGTCTCGTGGGTAATTATTAATATTTCTAATGAGCGCGTGCCTGACGGCCATACAAAACGGCTCTGCGTCTTTTCGTTTTTGAGTCTTGTTCGTCTTTATTGTTCTATTTTCTCGTCTTTGAGTTTCTATTTCTTTCGATCGTCTTCTGGAATTTTTGAAATTTTGAAAAATCTTTTAACAATAATTATATAAAATTTTCAATAAATGAATATTAAATTGTTATCATAAAAGTTACGTAAGTATTAATTTATTTACATTATATATTTTCAAAAATATTAGCTGTGGGAAAAAGTTCGTGGCGTTTTTTTAATGCCATCTAACGAGAAAAACGCCACGAACTTTTTCCCACCTAATATGAGATTGTGTTACAATTACATAATTTCAAGATATGTTATAATATAAGTTTTTTTGTTATGATATGAGTAATGATAAGCTTCTCCAATATCGTAAATTGCAAATATGACCTTAACTACATAAGATAATAGGAAAGAATATCTGAGAATGCATTAATCTTGAATTATTCATTCGCGTCGATTACTTCGAAGTGAGTCGTGTGAAATCGCCTTAAGATCTACCCTTTCTTTCTACTGCAACCTCGACGTCATATCGGGGTCTTACTACGATGCGAGACTTGTAGGCCCTGAAGAGCGAGAGAGGAAAGGATTCCGTGGAGAGTTCCACGGCTACTGAGTCGGGTGAAGGAAATTAATGAATGGCGGCGATCTCGGCGGCGTTAATAAGCAAGCACCTGGGAGCGGAAATCGTTATATACAAGGGAAAGGCCCTTTGCTGTTCTTTCTAGAACTCTTGCGGATCAAGGGATTGTAAGTGAGATCGTGCGTCGCTGTTGAATCCACAATTTCCTGCTTTTCAGGAATATCACGTAGTGTTTCAACATCGTTGATAGGCAGGGCATTGTTAATGAATGCTTTAAACTCCTTTGAACTCCATCGGCCGGACGACGCCGACAATGCAAAGCGTAACCCTTTCCTCGGGTCGGAAGCAATATCTTCTAGTCTACATACTTGAACTATTGTATATTACAAATGGAGTTTAATTGAAATAATAATTATAATGTTTACTGACGAATATTTCCGATAATTTCAAGTTCAAGTAATTGAAATATGAAAATAAAAAGATAATTATATTTCAATTGAAAAGATTCTTGTAATACCGATATACGACATTATATTTCTAAAAAAAGTACAATTCCGGAGAATCCGCTGTTACGAAAACAAGCATCGCGTACTGTTATCGACGAGAAAAGCTGCGAGACTAATCGCGCTTAATCGCTCGTCATTTCATCTAATTGAGACTGTGGGGGAAATCGGAGATTTGGCCCTGACATCTATTGCCACGCTGCCTTTTGCCGTGTGCCGGTGCATAGGTGTATAGTCCAATGTAATGGAACTACAGCTCTCCGAATGCGGCACGAT